GTGTGTGTGTGTGTGTGTGTGTGTGTGTGTGTGTGTGTGCTTCAGAGCTATTTCAAGGGTCTATTTAGTAGGAAATTTTTGTGCATGTCCCTGATCCATTGAACCTATCCTTCCAGGTCTAGCTCCTGCCCTGCCCCTAACCCAAGCTCCTGATTAGTAGCAGTTCACCATATCTGGGGGGTCTGGGGGGCAGTATGCTGCACCCTTGCCATGTCACTGAGTGTATACCTCCCTCTCCTTCCACCACTTTCTCTAGGAACAGTCATCAACGCAACATTACCTTTTGAGAGAAGTGACAATCAATTGCCCTGACTCTACTCACCATCCCTGTGCTTTCCCAGATCTAAACACCCCTCCCTGTCCAGCACATGTGCTGTCTTTCCCCTATTCCAATGTAAGTTCCTCAGGTTGTGGGCTCCTCCAGCAGAAATTGCCTTATTTTTTGTATTCCTATCCGCAGTGTTCATGCTGGGCACTTCATAGTGAGCGCTTAATAAAAGCTACCATTTATTCAGACCCACCTCTTCCACACAGCCTTCCCTGATTTCTCTGGCCCAAATCCCCTCTCCCATTGAGCTCCTATGCTTCTTCCCCTCTGCAGCTCTCAGTGAGGAATAGACTTACCCCGTTCCTGCTGCCTCTCTCTTTTTTTTTTCCTCCCTAGACAGGCTGTCAGCTGCTGAGGGTCTCTTGCCTGTAAGGTCCCTTCCAATTCTAAAACCAATGATACTATGATCACATGTTGTTTAAGGAACTTGCCACTTGTCCCCTCCTCTGAAGAGCTCAAAATGTAATGAAGGAGTCTGAGACCCCACCGGACTCAGCCAGAAAACAAAGCATCAGTTCGTCCATGGAAGAAGAGAATGCTGCCCTTAGAGTGCCCCAGAGCGCTCCCGAAGCTTTCTGGGCCTCGGTTTCCTTATCTGTTAAATGAAGGGACTAGATTCAATGATGTCCAAATCTAATACGCTGGGATTCTTCGGAGCACAGGGCTTTGGGAGACCATGAAGCTTTCTCTTTCTACTCCTTTCCCACAAAGGCCTTTATTTAACAGGGACCAGGGATGTTCTTTCCATTCCCCCCCCCCTTTTTTTTATTTAGTTGACAGAACCTAGGCCAACTTCTTCATTTTACAGATAAGGAAACTGAGGACTAAAGAGGTTAAATGACTTGCCTACAGTCCCATAGGAAGTGACATAAGTATGTAGGATTCGACCTGGGTATTGGGAATCCAAATCCAGTTTTCTTTTCTTTTCTCCACCACTCTGTACTTTCCCGTCCCCCCACCCCTCAGCCCCCAACACGCACGCAACAATCCCATTTTTTCCCAGAGACCGTACTGAAATAGAGAATGTTTCCCCTTCCGAGCCATCCAGAGGCCGGGGGCGGGGGGGGGGGGTTTCACCCTCTTACAGGGGTCCCAACGCTCCCCTCCCCCCCCAAAAAAGAACTGACAGCCAGCAGTGGTTGGGTGAGCGCTACTCAAAGATCTGGGAGTTTTAAATTGTGGAAGGATTTCCCGGGTCGAGGGGATGGGGGGGGATTTGGCCGGGAATCTCTCTATTATCTAGCCTAAGACAAGGGGCTGGTCTGAACTCCGGCTCACTCTCACGCCCTCGGAGGCGGGTGCACCCTCTTAATTATTGCAATCCCCCCTCCCGCTGGACCCCCGGTCCCCTTCCTCTGCCTTAATCCCTTTAAGCAGAAGGAAGCCTGGCAGGGAGGCAGAGAATTGGGCGTCTCCCTCAATTCTGGGCGGGCCTCCCCACTAGTCCCCCCCCTTGGGAATGGGGAGGAGAAGGGAGGGGAAGAGAGGGAAGGGGAGGAGAGGGGAGGGGAAAGTAGGGGGCGGGCGGAACTAGATAACCCCCTCCTACAAGCCCTGGCTTTCGCTCAATCTCTCACTTCTCTCTGCTCCCTCGGTCTCCCGCCTCGGGCTCTTTGCGCGCCCGTGGCTAGAGCAGAGCGCGTAAGAGAAGGAAGGCAGAGAAGACTTGAGGGAAGAGTAGGAGGAGAGGTGGGGGAAAGGAGGAGAAGGAGAGGGGGGTGAAAAGGAGAGGGCCGAGGGGGCGGGGGTTAGGGGGCGGGCCGGGGGCGGAGGCGGGGCGGGCGCGGCCGGCGCGCTGCTAAGTGGTTGGAGCTGCCGCCGCTGTTGCAGGGGCTGCGCTGGAGAACTGGCCCGGGCGCACTGTGTGCGGTGACGGCGGCGGCAGCTGGCGCCGCTCGGTCCCTTGCTTCGGAGGAGGAGGAGGAGGAAGAGGAGGAGGAGGAGCTGTGCGCCCGAGAATCCTGGGCAGTGGAGCCGCCGCCGTCGGATCGGGGCCCGGCGAGGTAAGGGCATTCTCCCCGGGCGAGCTGGTGAGAGGCAAGCTCAAGGTGGGGGGAGACTGAGACGGAGCCGCGAGACTCCCCCCTCCTCCGCCCCTGGACTTTTCTTCCCAAGTTTCCTTCTCTGTCTGGGGAGCTGTTTGGGGCTGCTCTGCTAAGCTGGAGCGTTTTACTAGTTTGCTCTCATACCCGTCCTGGGCTTCCTTCCCGGGATGGGGTGGCAATGGGGGGGGGGGGTGTCAGAAGATCTTGAAATCCTACGACTTTAGAGAATTCTTGCATTTTGCATTTGGAGGTATACGGCAACTTGGAAGGAGCGTGCAGCCTGCCTGTCTCAAGCTGCAGTGGAGGGAAGGGGATGCTTCAAAAAAGATTTGAGAGAGAGAGAGCAACAGCAGTGAGAGGGAGAGGCTCTGAGGCCAGCAGCGATTTGGGGAGGCGGTGGCGCCGGGAGGGCGCCGGGCGTTAGCGCGCCCGGGGCCCGGGACTCCGCGCCCGCAGCGCGCTGCCAACGTGCCTCCCGGGGAGGCTAGGGTTCACCCCCCCTCCCCTGCTCCCGGAGCCACGGCTACAGCCCGGAGGCTCGCTCCTTCCCCTCCCCAATGGAAAGGGACATTCCTGAGCTGGAGGGGGGTTGCCTGTGGCGGTTTCTAAGAGGCTCTGGCTTGCAACTTTCTTCCCCATTGCTAAAACGGAAGACGCGGAGACCTAGACTGACAGTTGAAGGCAGTGTAAAGGAATTAATCGTAGCTGACTGACTAGTTTTGAAAAAGCCACCACGCACATAGACACACTCTTTTCCCTCCTTTTAACCCTGAGCCCCCAAACCTCCTGCAATCTTTTCCCTCTCTTTGGGAAACGGGTGCGATTTTTGCAGCTAGCGAACCTTTCCTCCCCTGCAGAACGGAGCGGAGCCGAGGGCTCTGGAGCAGCCGCGGCTTCCAGCCCCCAGGGGACACGCACAGCGATCCAGCCCGGAAGAAGTCTGTGAAGCCCTAGCTGCTGCAGCAGAGCGCAGAACCCCGTAGTCTCCTTCCTCCCGGGGAGCTAAGCTGGGCGCCGCGAAGCGGTCCCAGCCCCAGGTCGGAAGAGCCAAGAGCTCCGGGGAGAGGCGAAGCCCAGCATGCTGCCGGAGGATGCCTGAGGCTGGCCGGCCTGCAAGCGGGCGGCTTCCCGGGCCCTCCCGGAGCCTACCAGGAGGAATGGTGACCGCGGGCTGCGTCTTGGTCTTCTACCTGGCAGTGGCCGTGAATAGTGCGGGTGCCGGTCCGGGTCCGGGGCTGGTCATCTCTCACCTGGAGCCTCGCCCTGCCAGGAGAGCCACAGGTAAGGAGGGACCCGGGATTGGTTGGGAGGAGGAAGATTGTGGGGAATGTGGCGAGACCGGGTTTATGTCAGTGAGCCGAAATTTCCAGCCTCCTTCCTTCTCTCAGGCCAGTTCAGATTGGGAGTATTTGAACAGTGTGAAACCTCTCCTCCTCCCCTAGAGACAATTGCTGTCCACTTCCCTCCCCCCACCCCATCCCCAAGATTTGCAGAATCTCGGGTCTGCATGCTCCAGTCCGGTAGTGCTCCGCAGGTGCAGCGCTCTCAGGGAGCAGCCCCGGAGACTGCTACGGAGTTTCCATCGGTGCATTCTTTTCTCTCCTCTACCCCCACTCAGAGAGGAACGAAAGCCTTTTCTTTCTCTCTCCCTTCTTCCCCTGGTCCAGCACAACACGACGCTGAAATGCCAAGCCCAGTCCCCCCCCTCCCCCCCATGGCCTCCCTTTGTCAGGTTAATTGATAACCTAGCCTGTTGGCCGAGGCTGGTAGGAGAGGGAGAGCCGGAGAGAGTAAACATTTACAAACAGCCAACCCCCACCCCAGCAAGCCTGTGCTGGGGGGTGGCCTCGAAGCATGGCCCTGGTGGGGAGATGCTCCGAAGGAGATTTAAAAGGGCCAGAAGACTCAGCAAGCTAGTTTCTTAAACTGCGGGATTTCAAGGTCTTGAACTCTCAAATCGAAGCACTCTCCAGACTGGCTGGATCTGCCTTAGCTTTCGCCCTGCTTTTCTCTCTCGCTTGTGTTTGGCCTGATGGACCCTGGGCTCATTTTATGACTTGGGTGTCCGAGTGATTGCTCGGGCTGATTTAATGCCCCAGGCGGCTGTAATGTAATTGCTGCCTTCAGAAGGAAAATGAGGCTGAAAATGATGTGGAGTCTGGTTAAGACTTGGTAGCAAGGGCATGGTCAGCTGTGTAAAAGCCTTGGGCAGAACTGGGAAGGTCTGCAATGGAGCCAGGTTTGGATTTAATAAAAAAAGGCGGGGGGGGGGGAACATTCCCTATATCAGAACTGTCCAGAAGAGGAATTTGCTGTTTTCATAAGTAGTGAGCTTCCTGACACTAGTGGTCTTCAAACAGAGGCTGGAAGACCACTTGGGGGTGTTATAGAAAGAATTTCCAGCTCTGGACATGTTGGACTAGGTGAGCCCTGGAGTCCCTTACCTAATCTGTGATTCAGAGATTTATCAGTTCCTGCTAGTAGCCCTGTTGAAATCCCTTTGTGATGGAACCCATCCCAGCCTAGCCTGGACTTTTAGAAAGAGAAGCATAGAATTTGTGCATTGGAAAGCCTTCTTCTGAAAGAGGTCCCAGGGAAGAATTCCGTTTACAGGTTTCATTCAAGACATTCACACTGAACTTTCTTGGAGTTGACCAGAGAGAAAAAACCAGGAGAGAGAATTGTGTTTACGGGAGTTGAGTAACTAGCAACCCAGAGGTAATATAACCAGTAATATCAGAAGCCATCTAGTAACAAAGAAGAATTTTTAAAAGTACATTTGAAGGCAACATCCTTCCCGTCCTTCCTGCCTTGGGAGCTGCTACCTGTATGTGTCCTATTTGGTTTTCTGAGGCTCCACGTCCTGGCAATAGAAGCGATTCTATTGCCATTATAACTTTTATTATTGCAGTTTCCACCATTAATGTTTTAAGAGTTCCCATGTTCCACATAGAAAGTTTCTATTGTTCACAGAGGGTTGGGGGGTGGGGTGGGGGGAAGGAATGTTTGTCAGAAGGGAGAGGCAGATGAGCAAATGTAGTGACTGACCAGAGGGGAAGGGGCTCACAATCTCTCTCCTCCCCGTCCCCCCAGTTTGGAGTTCTCAGCCCTTTTGGCTTAAGGGACAGACAAGGCTCATCTTGGAATCATAAGCAGGTGATTTTTCCCTCCTCCATCCTTTTAACTCCAAATAACTTCCTTAATCTAGTAGGCAATGGACACTCTTGGCTATGAGCTCCGAGAGTCCTGAATTTGAAACCACAGGGTATGGGTCTGAGTCCCAGCTCTTGCTGCTGGCTACCCTTGGTCCAGTCACTCTCTCTGCGCCTCAGTTTCCTCACCTGGACAATGAGTGGGTTGGACTAGATGAGTGATCTTTAAGGCCTCTTTCAGCTCTGAATCCTAGTAGCTCTTGGACTCCCCTTAGAAAATCAGAGTCATTTAGAAATAGGTGAGGCATCTCTTAGAAATCATCAGGTCGGCTCTAGAGTTCCATAGGGTTTATTTTCAAGCCTAAACTGTGGAACTCATCTGCCTCTTCTCTGGGACCATCTTCAGGGGTCTCCCTCACATACTAACACACATATATGGATATAGATGGATACTGGGTGTCCTAAAAGTCTGAGTGTGTTTTAAGCTTTCATAGCCTTAAATAGATATGTGGGGACCAGGGGAGAGGGGAAGAGAGAGACAGAGAGAGAGAAATACTGGGTGTCCCAAAAGTCTGAGTGCCTTTTTAACTTTTCAGGACACCCAGTATCTATCTATATCCACCAATCTGTTTTAAACTATTAAAGCTTAAAACAGCACTAAGACTTTTGGGACATCCTGTATATGGCTTAGACAGATCCAGATGCCCAGACTTATTTCTGAACCTACAACAAGATCTACAGCAGCTTTTCTCAGGTGACTCTGTGGATGTGATAGAAATTTCCAACCACATCCCTGCCCTGCTGATGCCCCTTTGGGTTAAAGCTATAAATTCCCCTGGGGCTGGAGTGGGGTGGTTGGGGTGGCTGCACCAGGCTAGGGGAGGTGTTGGGTTTTGTCATCGGGGTGACACCAGAGTCTTAGCATAAGTCATTGGGCTGATAGCTCCCAACTTGCAGCAGCCAGATGCATTGATTTATAAGGTTGCTTTCAGCAGCCCCAGAAAAATCCATTAATGCAGATGACTCTGGTGTTTAAGAGCTGGGCAGAGAACTGGAGGGAACCCTGTTCTGAACTTACTGTGGGGTTTCCTTGCTCCGTTGGCTCTCCTTCAGGGCTGGCCCCCAGGGTCTTACAGTTAAGGAAATTATCACTATGTGGCAAAAAAAAAAGAAAAAGAAAGCTGCTGCTTAAAGGGATAGAAATGACAGAAGTCACTTCACTTCTAATGTAGAGCTGTAGGGTACCTTAGCCTAGCTGGTAAATGGCCCTCATTTTACAGGGGGTCAGAGGAACCAGGGGAGTGAAGTTACTTTCCCACTGACCCCCTGCTAGCTGGTGTAGGAGCCTGAGTTCTTCTGACTCTAACACAAGATGGGTTGGGATCCCTTTCTGGGAATCCAGGGGAAGGGGAGCTCTGTCCCTGGACTGGGAAGACAGTGTTCCCAGTGTGAGAGGGAATGTTCCACGGGGCAGGCAGCCGGGGAGGGGGTGTTCTGTACCCACCCGGGAGGACAACTTTAGTCAGAACTTACCATACCCTCCTCTAGCTGCTACTGTAATACCTAAGTGTTACAAAGCCACCAAATTTCAATGAATATAATCAGCCTCTTGGGGCCAGATTTTGGAGGTGGGGAGTGGATGGCTAGCAAACTATTTTCCCTTCCCCACCCTCATAATTACCAAAGGAGGTAACTTAGAGGAGTGGAAACGATAACAACAAAACACCACTGGTTTTAGAGTTTTAATTACCTGGGTTCAAATCCCAAGTCACTTGTATGACTTTTGGTGAGTACCTTTTCCTTTTCTGGGCCTCAGTTTCCACTTACAAAATGGAAGGTGGCAAATTAGTTTCTATGAAAGTAGACCCAGGAGAGGAAAGGGAGGAAAGAATAAATGTTTTTGGGAAGTCAGTGAGGCTTTAGAAGCTCTCCTTTGACAGAGAGGGAAACTGAGGAACAGAGCAAAAAGGGATTCACCTAAAGTCACATAGGTGGTAGGTAGCTGTAGACAGCTCCTATGGAAATCGCCCTGGATTTGGAGTCAGTGCCTCAGTTTGAAGCCTGGCTCTTTAAACTTCCTCTGTGATGGACTGTGGGCAAGTGCCTTCCCCAGTCTGAGCTGTCAAATGATGGCACTGGACTAAGTGGCCTTTCTAAGGCCCCTTCCAGATACCCTAGATCTCCTGAACTACCCTGGGGCTTCCTTAGCCCACAAGCCAAATATGTGAGGAAACTTCTCTGGAAAAGAGAAGGGACAAAAAGAGTATAAACACGTCCACACAGACACACACACACACATCCTCCTTCCCAATCTTTAAATTGAATGACTTGGAAGGAAAACAGCAGCCAAATCTTTCTCTGAATCCACTGGGCCATGGGACCCGGGCTCATTACTGAAGGTGGTTGTACACCGGCGTTTCCCATTACAGTGGAAGGCCTTATTTTTCCATAAAGAGGCCTGGAAGGATTTTTCCCTAGTGATCTAATTCTCCACACGGGCCCGGCGGCTGTAACAACCAACGCTTTATGCCTGTGCTCAGCTAACATAAAACGGGCATTGAAGGGGGCTCTTTTGGAGGTATGTGCATGTTTGCTCATATGAATGCTCGCTATTAGTGAAGGTGGAGGGCTGGGGGCCTAACATCTCCGCAGGGAGGTGTGGGGCTGTTGGTAGGAAGGAGGCAGGCAGATGGTGAGGTTGCCTCTGAATGGGACTGCAAACCAAAAACACTGAAAGCCCTCATCTGAGCTCACGTTCCCCTTGCTCCCTTTCTCCGAGACTGCTGCAGCCAGGGAGAAACAATGTCATTATATATTTTTTTTCTTTTTCTTTTTTTTCTTTTTTTTTATGAATGAAAGTAGGCAAGATAGAATTGAATGTGTATGTCAGCCAGCAGCCATGACAGGGCACATTAGGGGAGGTCAGTGAACTCTTTTAGTGGCCTGAGCATACGGTCACTCCATTCAACTCCTACAGAATAGACATCAATATCGGAAAAGAGGACTCCCTCCCTCCAATTTGCATTAGTATTCAGATAAAGATATTACTCCCTACAATTGGTGAATGTCAAGTGAGCTGAGTAGAGGGGTGGAAATCAACATATGAGCATCTCACTTTATTTTTTTTAA